AATGCTATGCGTAATCTAGTCAAGGAGATTTCCAAATAGTACTGGAGATGTCACCTGATTTCTTCTTGTGGCTTACAGTAAAATGCAAAATAAGGGAGTTAAATTGAGAGACTGTCAAAGTTAAGGATATGACTGCAAATACATTTGTTAAAACCTCAAAAAGAATAAAGGTGGTACCTCAGAACATGATTCAGTCACATAAGAGCTCTTTAAAGAAATTACAAGGTGTGCCTCACAGATTCTCTCAAACACGACTCTAGGAAGCTTAAGGGGTCTTGTCCTTCAATTATCTCAGCAGAGGCCTAAGTTAGAGAATGGCTTATCTGGAAGAGATTTGTGGGTATGACGTCTGCCTAACATAGTAAACCCCCAGAAGAATTGTAAGAGACCCATAAAATTCTTAAAGGAGTTGTATATTCAGAAACTGAGAGAGTCAAAGATGAACCCTCAGAATTCTACTGTCAAGTAGCAAGCTGAAAGAGCTGCTTAGTTGCAAACATATGTTACCTTTTATTAAAATAAAAGAGGGGATGATTCAAAAGACAGAAGAACCTAGAGAGCAGAGCCAAGAACCTTGAAAGAACCACAAGACCCTAAGCCTTAAGACTTAATCAAGAAACTCCCAACATTTTCCAATTGCTGGGGACCAGTGACCCCTTATTCCTCCTATTTTATACAAATGTATATATAGGTCATCCTATGCTTGTCTCACCACTCAGTGTTGGGCATGTCGAGGTGAGAAAACTGTCTCTTGAGTTTCATAGGTTGAGAAGAAATGTCCTCAAAGAGCTGTACTTGAAGGAGTAATCCCAAGGAACCTCAGCTGCACCCAGACCTGGTTTAGACAATGAAATTCTGGGCATCGAGGTCATGCTGTAATGGCATGAGATTTTTGCAAGCCTTGGGAGGGGTGAATATATTCTGAATATGGGAGGGATGTAAATCACCGGGGGCCAGAAAGCAGACTGTGGTACCAGATTCCAGGATAGCTACCAATGATCACTATCTCCTGGTATTCATTCCCTCCTCTTAAATGTGGACGGGATTTACTGATCCACTTCCAGCAGAATATGGCAGAAGTGATGGGATGTCAGTTCTGAGATTAGGTTATAAAAACACTGTGGTTTCAGTCTTGAGTGTTGTTGCTTGCTTCTTCTTTAGTCACATGGCTTGAAGGAAGTCAGTGGCAATGTTACAGGGCAGTCCGGTGGAGAGGCTCACGTAGTGAGGGACTGAGGCCTGCCAACAGCCACATGAATGAGCCTGCAGGGGGATTCTGCACGGTAGAGCCCCCTGACACCCAGCTTACAACTGATGAGAGATGTAGAGCCAGAGAGACTGAGCTGAACTATGCCTGTGAGGTAACAGAAACTGAGACAAGGAATCTTTTCTGTTTTAAGCTACTAACTTTGGGGGTAATTTGTTGTACAGTGATACATAAATACAATGAAAAACAGAACTGAGACACCTGCATGGAAAGGCAGAAGTAAATCAAACAGTGGATAGGACACAGTCCTCATTTCTTTTAATCAAAAATAATTTTGAAGATAAAGAGTAGGAGAGATACGAAATGATCATTGAGAAAGGAAATAGTAAGAAAATACAATAGTGAGAAGGTGAGTAAGTAGGGAAAGGGATAAGTAGCCTTGCTGAAGATTCTTTTCCTATCCAAGGAGATAAACATAAGGCTCGCTTAAGAAAAAAGAAGTCCAGTGTGGTCTCTGAGGGGGAGAAGATAGGTCATGGAACTATTGAAAGGCTACTGACATCATGGAGGCATCAATGAAAAGTCACGGAATCCCTCATAAGGGATTATATTCTGGGAACCATAATTACAAAGTCACTAGGGCTGGCTCTGAAATGACTGATGTTGAGGAGGGAAGAGGGTGATGCAATCTCTAGGAGTAGGGGAATTCATCATTTATTTTGGAAGCAGTATCTGGAAAAAAAGAACTGTTGGCAAATCTTTATACTCACATTATTAAGGAGGCCAAGGATGATTATTTAGATGTGAAATGGTTGCTAGAGATGATGTAAAAAACTTTTATAAAGTTATAAATCTGCTGCTTGAAATACTGGACAGATGGGAGGCATGGACTCAGGAAAAGAAATGCGAGGCCCAGTTATGGCAAAGAGGGGAAAGCCATCTAACAGGACAGATCCTCTCGCCTGCTGATTAAAGCCTAAGTGCACATGACAGCTAGCAGCGTAACGTCAGGGAGTTCCTATGCAAGCATCAAAGAAACACCCCTAAAGAAGAGCAAAATAACTAAGCAAATCTGAAAAAAATCCAAAACTTAAATATAGCAAAAAATAATTTTTCCCTTTTTTTGGATCCAGGAAAAATATGTAATTACTATTAAAAAACAAATACCTGGTCATATCTGCCAAAGGAGCCATGTGCCTAAGCTGTGCTAGGCACTGCAGCAAACCCTGGGCCCTGAGGCACTTACAGACTAACTGGAGACTCAACCTCTGTGTGCATAAACAACTAGAGAAGGAGTCAAGAAAGGACAGTGGGCCTGACAAAAAGGTGGTCCTTGGGGTGGTGAATGAGTTCCAGAGAGAGAAGAGCAGCAGGAAAGAGGACAAAGAGCCTGAGGGACCATGTGGCACTGGGGTGGAGGAGGAGAGACTCCCAGCTCTGAATGTCAAAGTGGGGGAACCTTTCAAGGAGGGGCTGGAGGAGGGACAATGTGCCATGTGGCTCCAAGAGGCCTCTGCCGGCAGCAGTGTCGGGGAGCTGGCTCATAGCTGGGGCACAAAGGCTGAGATGGGAAGAGTTATAAGAAGACTGGGATGCTGGTGTAGTCATCCGTTCCTCCTTTTAACAAAGTTAAACCTTCAGGAAAGGTTCTGTGCTAGGTGCTGTGGAGATGCACAGATAAACTGTCCTGGAGGTGTACAGCCTGGTGGGGAGACCAGGGAGCCAGATGGATAACACTCATCTTAGGCAGAGGGGCACAAAGAGATCCCTGTGTGAATTCTCTGGCGGAGGCAATGAGGGTAGGCTTGGAGAAAGGGGTTAGGGCACTATGTCTACCTAGGACTTGGATTCTTTAAAGCCATTTGTTAGTGAGAGAAATCAGAGTAGATGAAGGTGGTTAAATTGAGCTGTAAAATCTTAACCTTTTCTGATTTTCTTCTTAGCAGAAAAGAGCAACAGCATGTGACCAACAAATTACTAAATGACTTGGTAAATCCAGCTTTCCCAAGTTGAATGAGGAGGACAGGTGGAAAGGGAAGCGGAAGCAGCATCATCCTCAGGGCCTGGCTTACAGGCAGCCAAGTGGGCCAGGACTCCTCGTACCCATCTCTCTGAGCCTCAGGTTCTTTGTAAAATGGGGTCCCCTACCTCATAAGGTGGCTGTGATGGTTTTGGGTCATGGTGCCTTACACACAGCCTGTGATGAATGCTCAATAAATGGGCTTTATTGTTGTCGAAACCTGGGTCACCGAAAGATAGGTGAATGCTCATGGGTATGGATCTTTCCCTCTTCTTTCTAGGGTTTCCTGCCATTTATCTAACTTGACAGTCGTGGGAAAAGAAGGAAAAGAAAAGCCAAGGAGGAAGGATGTAAAAAATAGATGAAAATTTAGCAAGGCGAAGGCTCTGCCAATAAAAAGAGTAAAGACCTAGGCTTGGGTGAGTTTATTAATGCAAGTTTATTCTTTCACTGAAGAGTCCAGAAAAGGTGAGAAGCAAGAAAGAAGAAAATCAAGGGAAAAAGTAAGGAAAAAGAAAGTTGAAGAATATTTGGAAACAAGTTCTGCAGGTAGGCACCAATTAGAGGCAGAGGTCAAAGAAGGCATGACTATGGTGTGGTCGATGGGGTGAGTTAAGGTAAAATCAAACCCCTCCTTGGTGAAATAAATGATGTTAATCTGTAGGTCTTTAAAAGACTGGTTAAAACTAAAATTGATACAGGGCCTTGGAGCAAGGTATTTAATAGCTGGAGAGAAAACTAAGATTGATTACATATTAAATATGTGTCTTTCGGCATTCCTCATTCCACAAGGAAAACATAGTGAATAAAACAAAGAAGAGTTCAAGTATATTTCACCATAATAATGATCACTTCAGCGTACTCTTTGCCAACTACTGTCCAAAGTGCTTACTGAGTGTTAATCATTTAATCCCCACTGCAACTCTATGAAGAAAGTACACTTATTATCCCCATTCCATCAACAAGGAGACTGAGGCACAGAGAGTTTAACTTGTTCAAGGTCTCACAGCTTGTAGGTAACCACTATGCCAGACTGCTTCTCACAATTATCCTGAGCCCAGTCACAAATCTGGGGGAGAGTCACCCTCTAGTGTAATGAGTTAGGGCCACTTACAATAGAGACAAGACCACAAATCATTACTATGAAGAAGATGGTAACTTTGGACTGACAGTAGACAGTCCTTTAAAAATCACATATGGATACCAATGAGGTCTGAGGGACAAATAAAGTGAAAAAGCTGCAAATGGATGTGAGTGGCCAGTAAGAAGATTAAAAAGGCAATAAAAGGTCAGAAGTCCAGGAAGCAAAGTTTATCAAATGGCCACTTGTGGTAATGTGAAGGCAGCAAATCCCCAGTGAGAACTGACAGAACAGATCATAACGCTACGTAGACAGGAGGCCCTGGGAGCCTGCTCGCAGCATGGCATAGCACTGGAATCCAGTGTTGGTGTCGGGGTAGTCCTGTATATCTTTATGCTATTTATCTCCTCCTAGGGACTACACCCAAAAGAATAACCTGGGTCTTTGGTGATGTGATGTAAGAATGTACTATGATATCATTATTGTAAAATACATTGAAAAAAATATTAGAGGGAAAAACAGACCTTGCTGATTCATAATTAACAAAGCATGGCTCTTTCAAAGGCAGAGAAGTTAAAAGCTTCCCTCAAATCCACCCATAACTGATGTTAGGACACAGGGAATGCTGCAGAGGGGTAAGAGAGGCTCATTTCAGAGTCTCCCAGTTGTGACGCTCCCACAGTGACTGTCACCTGTTTGGTTTTCTTTGACAAGGCAGGAACTGGAGCTGTCTCCTGCTGCATCATTTCTGTGTCTCCTCCTCCTTCGCCATCTGATGCTTCTAGGAAATATAAAGTTTAAAAATTAGAAAAAGTGTCTCTCAGTTTGACTTAACATTGTAAAATGATAATTCAATAAAAAAGTTAAAAAGTAACTCCCCCCAATAAGCTATGATGACTAAAAAAAAGAAAGAAAAAGTGTCTCTCTTTTTTTCTTCCTCCCAATGCTAGTGCAATCTTGGTACCACCTTTCTAGAAGGTTCTATCCTTTGACTCATTAATTCCACCTCTAAGGTGGAATTTAAGGAAATTATTCAGAATAAAGACAGAGATTTAAACCCCAAGATGGCATTGTTATTTATAAAACTGCAAAACTGAAGATTATTCAGCTGTATAGCATTTGAGAGTGTTTCGTTAGGGAACACTCATACTGATTTTAGAGATACTAAACTCCCCATTTTCAGATAAGACAGTTGCTGTTTAGAGGGAGTGAAGCAATTTGCCCCAGGTCACACACCTGGGAACCCAGATCTATTTAAGTCCAAAGTCTTCCCCACAAGCGATACTGCCTGCACTGAGAACCAGCCAGCTCTTGACACCTGTGTGTTGGCCCCAGGGGGAATGTTAAGAAATTCTGACAAAAGGATTACAGAGCATGAGAAATACTTATTCTGAATTTATAAGATCTTTCAACAATGGAAAAAAATAAATTCTTACTCTAAGAATCAAGAAAGATAAAAGTCTTAACTTTTTTCTTTTTTTCGGTTTATAAAGCTCTTTTAAAGAAACATGGTAACAATAAGTTTTACTTCCCGTAATGCTATATGTCCTTCCAGATTTTAGTGGTTGCTCTTTAAACTCAGTTTTGAATCTTTGAAAGGTTTTACTTATTCCCTTTGAGTTTCTCCATATATCTCAGAGTCAGCCCAAAATATGAATTTGTGAGTAATGTTGGTCAGAATGTTTAGGTACAAATTAACCAGTTTGATAGTCCTGAGCTTTTAAATGTTTGCTTACTGTGATGGTTAATTTTATGTGTCAACTTGATTGGGCCACAGGGTGCCCAGATATTTGGTTAAACATTCTGGATGTCTCTGTGAAGGTGTTTTTGGATGAAGTTAACATTTGAATGAGTAGACTGAATAAAGAAGACTGCCCTCCCTAATGTGGGTGGGACTCATCCCATCACATGAAGGCCTGAAAAGAACTAAAAGCAAGCCCTCCCCCCGAGTAAGAGAATTTTTTCTCTCTTTGGTCTTGAACTGAAACGTTGGCTCCTCTTGGATCTGGAGCCTGCCAACCTTCAAGCTGGAACTATACCATCAGTTCTCCTGGTTCTCAGGTCACTCTGACTAGAACTGGAACTATAACAATTGGCTCTCCTGGGTCTCCAGTTTGTCGATTCACCCCACAGGTCTTAGGACTTGATGGCCTCCATAACTGCATGAGCCAATTCCATACACACACACACACACACACACACACAGAGACAGAGACGGAGACAGAGAGTGAGATCTATCTTCTATTGGTTCTGTTCTTCTGGAGAACCCTAATTAATATACATACTTTTTAACTGTGTGGAAAGGACTCTACCCAATGAAGTAGTAGCAGGTAGGAGATTAATAGGGCTTTTTCAATGAGTGATTAAGTTGGCATTAGAAGTATTTATAGAACTTCTGCTTCTGGGAAGAGAGTAGTAGTAGTAGTCATATTTTCCCCTATTCCTCCTGCTAAGTACGGCTAAAACACTATATATAAAACAAACATAAGAAGTCCCTGAAAGGTGGAGAGAAGGCAGACTCACTACGGACTTTGAGGCCCAAGGAACAACACAGTGGTGAGCTACCTGGGTTTTCTTTTTGCCTTATTATCTCGGGACTTGGAGCTAAAGAAGCTAGCAACTTGGGAATGCTAGTGAGAGTAGACTAAAAAGCCTCAACAAATATCTGCCCTATTTAACAAAATGACCAGGAAAGGGATAGCTTAGCAAGACTAAAAACTTTTAGACAATAACTACTTGGCTCCTGCCAAACACAACAGAAAAACTGTGGCCCTGCCTACACCAGCAAAGGCTGAGTGGGGACCCTAGACTTCCCTTTGTCAGGCAGTAATGAGGCACTCCAAATCTTCTTCCGTCTTCCATCAGGGTGGTATCAGAAATGATCAAGTGGGGATTGAACACCTAAAGGGATTTTCATCCCTGAAGGGTGATAGCAAACCCCTGTTCTCTCCTCCCATCACCACTACCACCACTGCAGTATCAATGGAGACTACATGGTGAGCCTGGACTTCTGCTTCCTCCTGGCAGTAATGAAAGGCACCTCTCCTTCCCCACTAGGATAGTGTCATAGGAAGAGCCCAATAGAGAATCAGGACTTTACATACAGCCCAAAGGTAATGAGGGGTAATGAGGCTACACCCACAGTAGTGGTTTTAGCAACCACTAAGATTTAAAGCTATACAAAGAGAAATACTCAAAAGTACCAAGACAAATCAAAAACGAATTATAAAAATATTCAAGTAACCCATAGGAAGGCAGGAAAGAGAAACAAAAACAGCAAACAAATAGAAAAGACAAAATAAAATGGCAGATTAAATCCCAACATATCAACAATTACATTAATGTAAATGATCCAAACACACTAATCTAGAGATTCACAGCATGGATTAAAAAACATGAGCTAACTATATGCTGTTTACAAGAAACTTACCTCAAAGATAATATAGTTGAAAGTAAAATGATAAAACATAACATATAAACACTGATTTAATAAAAGCAAGAGTGCTTATATAAATATCAGATAAAATAGACTTCAGAGTAAAGAAAACTACCAAAGAAAGAGAAGTACATAATACAATGACAAAAGGGTAAATATGCCAAATAGACATAGCAATCCTGAAAGAATAAGCATCAAACAACAAAGCTACAAAATATGGGAAGGTAAAACTGAGAGGAATAGGGGGAGGGTGTAGCTTAGTATAGAATGTATGCTTAGAATGCATGAGGTCCTGGGTTCAATCCCCACTAACTCTATTTTAAAAACGCATAAAAAAATTGAAAGAAATGAAAGAAGAGACAAACCTACAATTATGTTGTAAACTTTACAGTCCACTCAAAACTTGGAAAATGACTAGACAGAAAATCAGCAAGGATACAGAAGAATTGAGTGACACCTTTAACCAATAGGATCTGGTCAACATTTGTAGAACATTCCACTCAACAACAGCAGAATACATATTCTTTTCAAGTGTTACGGAAAATGTACCAAGACAGACCACAATCTAGGACATAAAACATCAATAAATTTAAAAGAATCGAAATTGATAAACAGCATGCATTAAAAACCTACAGCAAACATTATACTTAATAATAAAAGACTAAATGCTTTCTCCCTGATTGGGAATAAGGCAAGGATGTCTGCTCTAGTCAGTAGTATTCAAGATAGTGCTAGAACTTTTAACCAGTATAACAAGGCAAGAAAAGGAAATAAAAGACATATATATCAGAAAGGAAGAAATCACACTATTCCCATTTACAGATGACATTATTGTTTATATGGAAAATCCCAAGGAATCTAAAAAATGAAAACCTTGCTAGAACTAAGAAGTGAGTTTAGCACCATTGAGGAATAAAAGATAAATATGCAAAAATTAATTTTATTTCTATATATTAACAATGAACATGTAACACAAAAATTAAAAATACAATACCATTTATAATCACTGAAAAAAAATTACTGAAAAAACCCCTGAAATACTTAGGTATAAATTTAACAAAACAAGTATTGGACTTGCACGCTGAAGACTACAAAATACTGATGAAAGAAATCAGAGAAGACCTAAATAAGTGAAGAGATATACTGGGTTCATGCATTAGAAGACTAATCATAGTAAAGATGCCAGCTCTACCCAAGTTGATATACTGGTTCAACATAGTTTCTATGAAAATCCCAGTAATATTTTTTCTAGATATATACATATTATTCTAAAATTTATGTAGAATGGCTAAGGAATCAGAAGAGTTACAACAATTTGAAAAAGAATAATCAAGTGGGAGGAATTAACTTACACAATTTTGAGACATTATATAGCTACAGTAATCAAGAATGTGTGGTATTAGTGTAGAAATAGACACACAGGTAAATGGAACAGAATAAAGACTCAGAAAGAGACCCACACAAATATGCCCAACTGATTTTTGACAAAAGTGCAAAAGCAATTCAATAGAGGATTAGATAACCTTTTCAACAAATAGGAAAAAAATCCATAGGCAAAAAAATGGACCCTTACTTAAGTTTTACACCTTATTCAATAATTAACTTGAAATGTCTCTGTATTGTTTCTTAGAACTGTATGTGAATCTATAATGATTTCAAAATCTAAAAGTTTGATTAAAAAAAAGTCTTTAAAGGAAATCCATCCTCTTCTTTGGGAGGCCCAATATCCTTATGCTGGAAAAGCCAGCAGGTATGTGGTTGGCTGTGGACCAGACTAGAGCACCATCTTACATCTGGAGCACCCCTATCATTGCTGTCCTGACCCCGGAGAGACAGAAGGGTAGCTGGATTCGGAGAATCCAGTCAACCAATGGAGGCCATGATAGAGTCTTCAAAAATAAAAGCCCTTAGGCAAGGGCTGCCAGATAAAATACAGGCTACCTCATTAAACTTAACTTTCAGATAAACAGTAAATAATTTTTTAGTATAGGTATGTCCCAATATTGCATGGGGGATATCTGTAGGGTATTAAGAAGTATTCACTGTTTATCTGAAAGTTGAATTTAATAAGGTATGTATTTTTATTTGTTAAATCTGGTGACCCCAATTGGGGAATTCTCTTCCCCAGAAAAGGCCACTCTTAGTCCTCCAACCCATCTTCATCTGGGTTCCTTCAGGGAAGTCTTGGCTGACTACACAGGCCTTCTTCCTCTTGCTCACAGTACTTCTACACTAACTGTACCCTGTAAAGCAGTACATAATTTTTTCCTTCCTCACAGTGTGCTTTTTTTTCCATCTGAACTGTAAACACTCTGAGGGTATCCACGAGTGCCCCAAATACCTGG